TGCCCCAAAAGGGGTTTCGCGCGGTGTGACAACTATAGGGATTTCCCTATGTTTTCGAGACTTTCTCAAAACGGCTTCCGCCCATTCACTAATGGACCCCCCACCGAATACACACAGTGCGTTTTTTGGAAATAGGTAAGAACCTTTCCAGGCCAGCTCAACCATCCCAGCGAAAGGGGGCAATAGCGCTACCAGTGACGCTTCAACTGAAGCAGAGGTGCGCTATTCTCCCGCTGTCAATGCGGCCAATTTTTATCAGAGCGTTCGCGCTCGCTTCTTCTCCCTCTTTCTGCTTGAAACCGCGAGGGGTTTTTCCTCGCATCACTGAGCCGCCTCCCCCCCTCTTGAACAGGTTTTCTCTCGCCGAATTCTCCAGAATAGAATCTCTAGAGAATGCCCGAAAAGGGTTCAGGCAGGCTTCAGGGTCCACGCCGCGAGCTCAGATTTCTNNTTCAAGATCATAGTCGCTTTTATAGCATCCGCAGTTCGTAGCCGAAGCCATGTGTGGCGCCAGGCCAGAGCCACCAAACCCAAAACACATTCTTCATTCGGGTTGCTCCCTGTCTCAGGTTCTCAAGGACAAACTGAAGCAAGCCGAGAGGGACTTCAAGTATCCTTTTGCCTACCAGTTCCGGTCGGCGACCTAGTTCCGAGCTTGGATACAACTCGATTATGTAAATACTTCCAACAAACTCGTTCAGGTACGGCTTGGACGCGACTGTGGAAACTGCTTTGCGGGTCGTGGCCATGTACACTCCGAAGCAGAGCCGGCCGCGGTTCATCCTACGCCCCCAGAAGAACCGGACATCGTCCTTACAGGTCCGGGTGGAGGGCATTAGGGGAACCACAAGTGCCAAGATCCTCGGCCAGACGGTCTGGAGCTCAGCTGTATCTTTCGCGATTTTTCTGCTGAATACGAAGCCCATGCATAGGGTAGTTTTTGAATCTGGAAGCCTAGGACATCACCAGCTGCTGCGACGACCCGCGCCTGAAGGGCTGGTTTCGCAGATTGGGTCTGGATCCCGAATGGGGCCGGGCTTGGCTCCTAGAGGTCCAAGTGTGGTCGCCTGACATCAAAAAAGTGACCGAGACGTGTGCTCCAGCTTGGTCGCAATCGAAAGCACAAAAGGACGAGCGGATTTTGGAGTTTCAACATGTACGCCGTGCCGCCTGCAGCTCTGGCTCCAACTATAGATGCTCCAGGACTCAACTCGCCATGCCTCGTCGCTGCGCTGGCTTCCAGGATCCTTCAGACAGTGGAGCCCGGCCTTGTCTCTTCGCTCCGGATGGTCTTGGCGGACCCGCGCAGGCAAAGTCTTCCAGATCAGGACGCTGCGTGCTCTGCAGCGTAGATGCTCTAGCGCAGGCGCTGGAATCTCGAGTAGGCAAAGGGAATCTAGTCAGGCGCCTCAGGCATTGGAGGCGGCTCGGGACGCCAACATATGAAGCTGCCTTTGAATTCGGATCATTGCTTGCATTGTCTCCACACGAGCAGTACGGCCTTCGTGAGAAAGCAGGAGAAGCTGCAAGATTCCGAAGACAAGCAAGCTGGCTGCACAAGGGCAGACAACGCCTAAGACACTTCCTCCTGGGCAAGCCGATTCCAGGCGGGAGCCCGGGAATGAGCGCAAGCAGCCAAGAATGCTTGCAGAGCAAAGCCAGTTCATACTGTGACGATGGCCACTTGCATCGCATTTACATGGTCTACCGCAAGAAGGAGCCATTTGCAAATGTCAAGTCGAAGTGTAAGGGTCGCACCTACTGGAGAGGTAAGTTGGCCATCATAAGGCGCAAGCGCTGTGCATGGTGGAAAGCACGTCGGACCCTCCTTGCGAAATACCTGGCTTCAATCACACGTGGACCTCCTTTCAATAGCATTGGGTTGAAATGGGCAATGGAAGAAGGTCTGCTGCAGGCTGGTGCGCAAGTTCCTCTGCCAGCTCCTGACTATTGCCCGCGCCAGGCAACATGGTACCTAACCACTACTGGAGACAGCTTGTATTTCGAAAGGTTCCGCGCGAAGATCTGTTCTCAGGGCCAGCTCGATAGCGCTCTGTGCGCCATCAACAATGCCCTGGGCAGAAAAGAGAGCTGGATTGACGAGGGGGGCACGGAGAAATATTTGCAAGAGAAGGGCTATGAATGGTATCGACACATGATACAGAACGGTGTGATTTTCTCGCCATTATGGGTCAGCAGCAACTTGGAGCGCATTGGGTTCAAGCTGCAGATGTGGAGACGGCAGGAGCCGGAGTGGCCACCAGGGGTCATCAGCCTTCTGCAGATCCGAGGCGACAGACGGCAGCACAAAGACTATTGGGCTGCACTGACGTACTGCAAGGGCACAGTATACTTGCTGGACAGTTTCCGTAACACACCCATATTGCTTTCCGATTGGAGGCGTGCCTTGGAAGCTCACCCAACATATGCACTCGCCCAGCTCTGAGTCTGAAGCGCATTTTGCCAACTTGTACAAATGACTTGGGTCGGAGTGTAGCGTAGGGCCTTGCAGAATCGGACAGGCTAGGCCAAAGGCCGCAGTAGGCGCAGAGACCACCAAGTCAGAAGCAGTCGACCGACAAAGAAAAGAGCAGATCAGGTTGGCTTATCATGCAGCAGGTGCTGCAGTGTTGCTGCCAACTTGGCATTCGTAGTCGTTTCTTGCTTCACGAGGCCGCAGGTGCTTAGAAGAAAGCTTTCGCTTTGCAATATCTTGCTAGTGCAAAGTTTTGCTCAAGCCACCTAGAAATCCACCAATGGCAACAACAAGCGCCAGCATGACAAGAACCCAACCCAGCCCAGCCAGCCCAGCCTAGCTCGGGCCAGCCAGACCAACAAAGTTTTTGTATTTGCGTTTGCTCAAAAGAAACAAAAACAAGAGGACAAGGGATTCCCGGTGTGTTTTTTGCACAAAAAGAAGATTCACCATTAAAAATGTGTGGCAGATCCGGGAATCCTCTTTTCGTACAAAAACAACCACCGGGAATCCTTTTTCCATTTGTTTTGGCCGTTTTGAGCAAAAGCAAAAGCGAAAACTTTTTTGGACCGGGAATCCTCGAAGATGTGCCGCACATTTTCGAAGGATTCCCGACCAGAGCAATCTCGAACCCCGAACCCTAGACAATTTCTATAAACCCCTAAATCTCTAAACCCGAGACCTCTAAACCCTAAACCCCTAAACCCTAATCTCTAAACCCTAAACCTCTAAACCCCTAAACTCCCCTAAACACTAATGAGAGGTTCGGCTTCGGAGCCAGAAACCAGATTTTCAAGGCCCCAGTCCTTGAACCCGAAAGGCCGAAGCCCGAAACCCTGAACCAAATTCCTGGATTGCGAAACCCTGAACCCTGTAGACCCTTAGGGTTTAGGGTTTGGGGTTGAGGGTTGAAGGGTTTAGGGTTTAGGGTTAGGTGTTTAGCAGCTCCGGATCGAGCAGTTTTAAAGTGCGCTTACATTTAAGGTTTAGGCATAACACCCACCCAGCCCTGAATCCCACGACATTGGAAAATACAATTCCGTTTTCATATCAAAAATGTTTTTAGATGTATTTTAGAGGAGAGGCTTTTTAGAGGTTTTTTAAAGAAATGGCACTCTTTCGTCGAATAATGCCGCTTCTTTCGTTGAATAGAGGCTGGTTCGTCGAATAGTTCTGTGGGTGCCGGCTCGTTCGTCGAATAGTTCCGCCTGGTTCGTCGAATAGTTCCGCGGCATGCCGGTTCATTCGTCGAATAGTGCCGCGAAACTATTCGACGAACCAGGCGGAACTATTCGACGAACGAGCCGGCAGCCGCGGAACTATTCGACGAACCAGCCGGAACTATTCGACGAACGAGCCGGAACTAGTCGACGAAGGAGATTAAGCGTTATATTACATATGTAAGAGAGGGTTTAGGGTTTAGAGTTTAGGGATTTAGGGGTTAGGGTTTAGGGAGTTTGTTTCAGTTACCATAGTAGGGATCTACAGTAGATAAAATGGTTTCCTTATTATGGTAACTTAAATTAAACCCCTTAACAAGAACCCAAATTCTGCAGCTCACCGGTCCTGATGTAGGGGCTTTCGCAGTTGGGATGGGATTTTAGGCTATACTTGGAGGTTCATGGGTAGTTAGAAGTGGGGTTATAAGTCCCCTAATATGGTTATAAGTATGGCTACCGTACTTATAACTAACCATGAGCCTCCAAGTAGTAGACCATACTTTCGGGATAGGACCAGCGTCCGCAATAAGACCTTTGTAACCATTATACTATAGTAAGAAGAACCCTACAGTAAGGGACTCCATTGTTGGAATAGGGTTTTGGGAAGCAGTCCAGATCCTACAGTAATTACGCTGGGTTTAGGGTTTAAGGCTTAGGGTTTGAGGTTAAGGGTTTGGGGTTTGGGGTTTAGGGATTGAAGGTTTAGGGTTTGAGGTTTAGGGTTTAGGGTTTAGGGTTTAGGGTTTGGGGTTTAGTGTTTAGGGTTTAGGGAAGCTGCTTCCTCGCGACTGAGGCGAAGGGTGTGCGCATTACCATGCGCAACTAGGCGGCAATTTGGAAACTTTAGGATGGTTTAGGGTTCGGGGTTTAGGGTTCGCTTGTGGTTTCTGTAGAGGTTTAGGGTTTAGGGTTTAGGGTTTAGGGTTCGCTTGTGGTTTCTATAGAGGTTCCTATTCATAGATACTTTTCGGCCCCAAGACTACAACTCAGGCACGGATTTGCAGAGCATGCTCGTTGACAGCATGCCGCCTGATCCTGGGCCATTCTAACGCTGTTGATGATATCAATCCTGCAGTACGTTAAGGACCCTAAACTATGTAAATTATGGTATATTTCTTATTATGGGTAATGCAGGATTTATATATCATCAACCGTAGGACTAGTAGGATTAGCAGAAGCAGTTCTAGGAAGAAGCTGAAGAAGAAGTAGACCCTAAACCCTAAACCCTGAACCCTAAGTCGTAGGCGTAGGTGCAGGCTTTTAGTGGTGGGTGTGGTGGTCGTTTGGGGCGACGCTTCGGTTCGGCGTGTTGAGGTTGGGGCTTCGGGTCCCCATTTGCGTAAAGTTCAGGGTCCATGGCAACCCCAAACCCTAAACCCCAAACCCCAAACCCTAGACCTAAACCCAAAACCCCAAACCTAAACCCTAAACCCACAAAATCCTAAACCCTGGAGCTTGAAAGTCCCAGGATACCTTCAAGTTGGGCCACAAGCTTTCCGAGATCGCTGAGAACAGAGACGGTGCCTAGTAGGTAATGGGTTTAGGGTTTAGGGCTTAGGGTTTAGGGTTTAGGGTTGTCGAGAGTAGCCACCAAAAGGGTTTGGGCTTTATCTGGGGATCCCCAAACCTGCCGTTCTAAGGGTTCTACCCTCTGGTTAAGGGGTCATAACCTACCATTTTGCAGGGTTTGGGGTCACAGGTAGGGCTTCTAGGGTTTAGGTTTTGGGGTTTCTAGGGTTTTTTGGTTTAGGGCTTCAGGTCTAGGGTTTAGGGTTTAGGGCTTCGGGTCTTGGGGTTTAGAGTTTAGGGCTTCGGGTTTTGGGTTTAGGCTTTAGGGTTTAGGGTTTTAGGGGTTCCTTCAAGGGGATTATAAGGGATCTAGAAAGGTACAGGGTTTAAGCTTTTCTGCGGTCTGGAACGCATTCTCATAGAACCAGAGGTCAGAATAGTATTGAAATGTCTGAGCATGTAGTATCAGTAATACCCCCTTCCAGTTAACAGTTTAGAGTTTAGGATAATATTGTTGATGATATAAACCCTGCATTGCCTCAAGGACCCTAAACTATGGGAATTATGGTATACTCGTTATGATGGGAAATGCAGGGTTTATATCATGAACAGTATCATGTTGCTATGCTGCGAAGATACCGCCCGAGACCCGACTTATTTCATCAACAAGGCCCTATTTATGAGCTCGTGTTGGGTCTGCTTCGTAGCACTCATCTCGGGTCGTGAGACGTCCCTGGACTACGTTTTCTCTGTACCCGGCGGGGCAAACTGTTTCCCAAATCCTAAGCTGTAAGACTCCTAAGCCCTAAACCCCGACTGAACCCTAAGCCTAAAATCGCTAAACCCTAAACCCTAACGGAACCCTAAGCCTAAAATCACTAAACCCTACACCTAAATTTAAAATCATTCAACCCGAACCCTACATTAAACAATAAACCCTAAACCCTACACCCTAAACCCGAACCCTACATTAAAGGGGCCCCAAACCATTGCACCCCAAACTTTTCGACCCCAAGCTCTTTAGGGTTTAGGGTTCAGGGCTTCAGGGTTCAGGGCTTCAGGGGTTTGGGGTTTAGGGTTTAGGGTTGAGGGTGGGATTGAGGGGTTTGGGGTTTGGGTTTTAGGGTTTAGGGTTTAGGGTGGGATTTAGGGGTTTGGGGTTTGGGGTTTTAGGGTTTAGGTGTTTTGGGTTTCGAGGTCTAGGGGGTTTTAGGGTTTGGGGGTTTCGGGTTTAAGGTTTAGGGGTTTCGGTAAACTGAAGTGAATCCAGGTGTCGTCTTGACTTTCGAGAACGGAGTGACATGCACCGCTGATCTGGTGGTCGCCGCCGATGGCATTCACAGCGTGGTCAAGAGAAACTTCGCAGTAAAGTAGGTAAGCTTTCCTTGTTCTGGGTACGACAATCCCCATTTAAGCCTTGAGCCTTGACCCGACAGGTTAACCGTTGGTTCCCCTGGCAAGCTGGCCAAGTAAGGAAAGATCTTCAACGATGACAAGCCCGAGCACACAGGTTCCGAGACTGTATTCCTGAAACCCTGCACCCCCGCGATAAGTTATGAAACTCCTAGAGAGCCCAATACCCCTTAATTGATTAAGGAATATTGCTTAAACCATAATATGAAGCCCCGTAAAATTTAAGTGTATGTTCCTTAATTAAGGGGTATTGGGCTCTGTGGGCTTCTACCAAGCTTCTATTAGGCTCGTCCTATGCCACTCCCTCAGCCCTAAACTCTACAACTCCCCGCAACTCTTGGGTGGATCGGAAACTCCGCTAATCCCCGTTTGTCCTGATGGTCCCGCTGCAGTACGTGGTGACCCTTCTGGTTTGGCTGTACCTCCCGGAGATCACTGTGTCTAAGCTCGAGAATGTTCTCACAGTCTTCGTGGGTGTGAGGGAACTCGTGATGCCATTTTGTCCTCGTCTTTGCTGTCTCCAGCTGAGTCCTCTGTGATTTCCTTGCCACGTGCCACTAATGAGTCGGTTCCCGGCCGTTCTGGTGAGACTGTCGAGATACAAGGAGAGCATTCACCGGTTGAGGGCCGGAAATGGCCGGTGCTCGTTCGGACACACAAGAGAGTGCGTTTCAACCTTAAAAAATAAGCCACTTAAGCCCCAAAGCCCCTACACCCCAAACCCCTACTGAGCCTGTCAAAGTCTTGATTAAGCCCAAAAGCCCTGCCCCTGACCGAATCCTTGACATTCTTCAGACCTTGAACCCCAAAACCGTACATTGATCCCCA